ACGGCATACGCACCATCTACATGAAATAGCATATGCTCTGCAGTATCTTCTGGCTTGGTGCGGTTGGATATGGGGCGAGTCTAGCATTGGTTTATTGCGACATTACTCTTCTTCGGCGTGGAGGAATCACAGGATTAGCATTACCGATAGAACTGTTTATTGCATCTTTTTCCTTTCCCAGGCTCACACCCAGCGCGCACCCAACGTGAACGGGAGCTGACCATGATGCTCGTGCCCCATGTGGCCTCGGGTGCTACCCGCAGAAGTAGATTAATTCCCCGCGGTAGTGCGGAGATGGAGCTTCAGGCACCATCCTAGCTCCAACGCGTCCCCAAGCTTCACCCCGCGAACAATCACCACTCGGCCCACCCACCCTGGCACAACCACCCACAGCCATGTTCCACCAAGGCACCTTGCAGAGCGGAATTACGCTTGCAATCCAGGAACAGAAGCTCGTTGCCTGCTTTGTACGAGGTACGTCGAGGTGCTCCGTCGGAATGTGGAGAGAGACACGACTGACAAACTGTATAGATGATGGTGCAACGAGCAACGAGTGGGAAGAAGAGTGGCTGAAGAGTGGATGGGTACGCAGCTCTTTGGAATCCCGCCCGAGGCATGCGCTAAGATACAACATGTAGCTATCGAGTCTGCTCGCCCAAAAAGCCGTCGTCCTGCGACTTGAGGCAGGCTCCACCGAAGCAGGCTTTCTGGCTGCCTTCTCCGACATTTCCAGTGTGCCAACTTTCGTCGTCATCCAGAATGGACAGCTACAAGTCCAACTCAAGAGCGATGCGACAAAGGAAGACTTTATCAATTCGGTAAGACGGGTACTGGGAGCGAATCCGATACCAGGCTCCAGCGCGGCACCGTCCTCACAACCACACACAAGCACACCAGAACCGAGCGATAACCCGACAAATGCAGAAGCGGAGGACGATCTTTACGGCCCATCCGCACCCTCGATAGCCACACCCTCTGCACCAGTACCAGCACCCACACCGTCGTCGACCAAAGCAAAAGGCAAGCAAAGAGCTCCAGAACCGAACCCCACAGCTCCATCTGCATCCGCGAGCAAAGCTCAACAGGAAGCCCGCGACGCGCTACGAAAGAAGAAGAGAGAAGACGCCGAAGAACTCGCCCGAATCAAAGCACGAATCGAAGCCGACAAAGCAGCGCGCAAAGTAGAAGCCTCGTTACGCAAAGCAGAGCGCGAGAAGGAAAAGAACAGAAACGCGACACAAAACTCCCATGCAACGTCAACGCCGTCATCGCCGCCGCAAACCACAGCAACAAAATCCTCGTCATCTCGAGGCTCGAATTCGGCAACCGTCGCACTCAACGTCCGCCTCTTCGATGGCCGTACCATCCGCTCCACATTCCCCCGCACCGCTACGCTACAATCCACCGTCCGCTCTTGGATTGACGCCGAATTCAGCAAGATGGCTCAAGACGATGAGAATCTCAGCGGTGGTCATAATAAACTGCCCCCGTCCTTTTTCCGCCATATCCTCGCTCCAGCGCCGAGTCGCGAGCTCTCGGCTGGCGACGAGAGTGTCGAGCTGGGTGAGATTGATCTAGCGCCTAGTGCGACGTTGGTGCTGGTTCCTGTTAAAGGGTATACGGATGCGTATTCTGGTGGTGCTGGTGGTGTGAGTGGGATAACGGGGGCTGCGACGGGGATTGTGGGTGGGGCGTTTGGTCTCTTGTCGAGTACGGTGGGGTTGGTGGGGAGTACGATTGGTTCCGTCATGGGCTTTGGGGCGCAACAAGAGGGTGGTGGTGCTGGTAGTAGTAATGGTGCTGGTGGTGGGAGAACAGTGGGTAGTAGACCTACTACTCAGGAACCTACGCATGATCCTGTCCTCGATCAACTGCACCCGCACCCGCAACCGCAACCGCCTTCTGCCGGCAACGGAAACGGCACTGGAACTACCATGAGAGTGAGGACGCTGGCTGATCAGCGTGCGAGAGAGCCGCAGCAGTTTTATAATGGGAATCAGTTGAGTACGGAGCCTAGGCCAGAGGATAACGATAAGAGGGATTGATATGGCTGTTGTTGTTGTGGGTTTCACATTTGGGAAAGGCTTGGAGATTGGTGGGCAGCGTGTTGTAGAGTGCGGAGGGGAATGGCGGGAAGGGGAGATAGGGGTGGTTCTGTAAGATTATGCTTGTTATGGTTTTTTTCTGTCTCTTTCCTATCAGGAACTTTGATTGAGGAAGGTGAGTGGATTGCTTTGATCGATCCTGATGGGTGATTTAGAGGGAATGACGGAAACATCTGTGAAGATGTTTCATTCCATGATTGAGACGCGAGTTCTTTTTGTTCGTAACCGTTTGTGTGTGTGTGTGTGCGTGTGTGTGGGAAGGAAGAAGGATTGAAACTGAAAAGAAGCGCTTTTCAGTCTTCTGTTAGGACTGTTGGCCGTTTTTCTTTCATCTCCGCCAATGTACCATCACCAATACCACCGTTCATACAAAGGCCTTTTCTTCATCTCCATGTCCACCCCTAGCATGCTGATCTTGAACAGCACCAGCACCAGCACCAGCACTCAAGCCCAACCCTTCCTCCGCACTCTCGACCAACCCCGCCGCTTTCAACAACTCGCTATCCACCATTGTCCCCGCAAATGGCACCTTTGGCCCTTCAACCTGCATCTTCCAATTTCCGCCCTTCTTCTTGTCCTTCTCTTCCCTTTCCTCTCCAGGGACAATCAAGCCACCATGGTCACCACCACCACCAAGCAGCAGCGCCTTATTAGTCTTGTTTTCTAGGTCATCAACCCGAGTCTCCATGACCTTGATTTTCTTCCCTAGCTTCGCGCGACCTTGAACTAATTCTGAAATTCCGTCTGGGCACGCAGTAAATGCTACGCGTAGTTCGGCGAGTCGTTCACGCGCTTCCTCTAGCTCAGCTTGTTCGGGAGTCATCTGTAGGGTTGGGGCGCCGAAATTTATTCCTATTTCGTCGTCGTCGTCACCGTTGTTGTTAATAGGGGAAAGCGCAAGGGGGTGATCAGGACTGGGCTGTGGAGCTGCAATGTAGGTTTTCAGGCCGGGTGGGTTGCGGTAATGGAGTGGGTCTTGGGCGACGTCTTGGAAGAAGGAGAGGATGGCGTGTTGGACGGGAGGATATGTGAAGATGCATTCGCCGACCGAGTTGTTGCCGCCGGCGAAGGTGGGGCAGATGACTGCTTGACCGGAGGACCATTCTGCAATCTTTTCCTCGTTTTCTTCTTTTCTGGTGGTGCTGTGGGCTGAGGGGATGATGCTAACGGCGAGATGATGGAGGGCTTTGATTAGGGTTGGGACCGCACCTGTGGAGATGGATTCGTGCCAGGATATGTGCTTGGTTGACTGCATGATGGATGGAGTGTCTTTTGGTGAGGCATATTGATCAGCTTGTTGGTCGTAGGAGTTGGGTAGATCTGTACAGTGCTGGGGGTCTGATGTGAGGTCGCTGAATTTCCACTGGCGGGCGCGCTGATGGAGGAAGGCGCGGACTCGTCGGTCCTTGACTTGCGAATCGTCGACTAGGGAATGGATCAATGCCATGGCGGTGATACGGGTGCCGTACTTGTCGACTACAATAGCTTGTTAGTTTCTGTCTTTCAGATGTCCCCAGTGTTGTTGTGTTCAGAATGTCCGAATTTTGGCGCGCCATGTCCAGTCAATGTGAGAGTACGATGAAGGTCTACATTGCGGCTAACGTTGCGACTCTAAAGGGACAGTAACAACATATACCTTGAGGGCAGGCTGTGAGGCTTGGGGTACCGAATTATAGAAAACGAACTTGTTGTACTTACAGTTGTCGGTGAGCAGCTTTAAAACACTCCCAGTTCCATCCTCAATGGCGATGACATAGACTTCTGCATCGGCCGATACACGATCAGGATTGCAGATGACTTGGTCGAAGACTGTCTTGACATGGTCCTTTGCATCTCTATGGCCTGGAACACGGTTTTCCTCGTCGTGAATGCGAATCATGTCGTGAGCGACTGACTTGCGTGGCATGGCAGACCAACTACGCAAAGTCATGGCCTGATCGTACTTGTGTGAGTAAAGCAACTGGCCCGTATTCAATACGATCAAGGCGGGGGTAGTAGCCTTGTCTTCGAGCACATAACTGTCTCTGAAGATGCTTGCGTCCTTTTCGGCATCGTTGTCAACAGACGATCGTTTGATCATCTCCTTGACAAAGTCCACAACCGAACCACCGTTGATACCAAGTTCTCGCTGCAGCTGCCGATATGCGAGGATGCCCAGATCCTGCATGGTGTCATTGACCAGCACGATGATGCGCTTACGCGTCTTGAGAACCTCAGGTAGCGGCGCAAGGATAGGTACATGCGGGCCGTTGGGCTTGGTCATGGCGAAGTCGGGAAGGTGGATACAATTGAGACCAAGGTAAGACAGACGCTGCTCTACCTCCTTGCGTTGACAAGCTTTGGTAAATTAGCTGGAGTCGCCTCAGTGAGAGTTGGAACTTGCTCTGCATGGCTTCACGGCGCACCTCATTGACGCGGTCATTATTTGTGGCGTGGTAGACGTAGGGCTTTTCAGGCGCGTTGATCATGCGGATATCACCTGAGCTGTTGATGAAGAAGCCGAGCTCCTTGAGATTTGCTGGGAAAGACGGGTCTGGCTCCAGGGTATTCTCTATGCGGCGGAACATAGTGGTATAGGCGCTGGAGTTATTGTAGGACGTTGGTAATCTTGGAAGCAGGCGCTCCAGTAATGCAACCTGGGAACGTCGTTACAATGGAAGTTGTAGTTGCGGTGGTTAGCTGGGTCGGACTTTTGTTGGTGCCGTAGGTTGCCGCTGCCGTCGTTTGTACGTGCAGCGCATGGTGAGAGCAAACAATACTAGAAGCGGAAGGCACGGTGATGGACAGTAAATGTGTCATGATCCATGTATATTCCTCGCAATTACGCCGCCCGATGCCAAATGTCTGCCTCATCGTATTGTACATGTAATCCATCGATTGTTCAGCAGGGTAAGTCTACCAGCTTGCTTTCTTCACACCCGGTAGGTTTCCAGCGAGGGCATTTACTCGGAATTGGTACTGTGAGATGGTTAGCTCCATATTTCTCAAAGAACATGTCATCCCATACTCTTCCCATCCTAAAGTCGCTAAAGACACCACGGCCCTTGCCTCCCATTATACACCTGTTCTTGATCTGTGTGTAGCGTGTGTAGCAGTGCATCTGTGAGAGCTGAAGCTGGGCTTGCGCGCGGACTCGTTGCGGGAGAGTGGTGTTGCGAATGATGTATCGGAGGGCTTGCCTGTGTCATCGTCAGTTCTTGCGCGACAAGAGGACGGAGAGGCGCATACCGTTCGGGCTCATTCTCAGAGTACACCTTCCGCTTTGTGTGGTCGCGGATGTTGCGAATCTTGGCAAAGCATCCAATGTCGAGCTTGGCCGCGCGGAATTGAGACATGATGGCGTATGGCGGAATGAGCTGCCGGGTTTTGGAGCACTCGATGATTGTCGATGAGGTTATTCAAATTCCGATGTTCTGCCGCGCCCTCCCCGCTCGCCACCAATCAGCGCCATCCTGCCTCCGACTCTCCCCCATTCATCTCGTGAAAGTCAAACGTGGATTAAGGACTTTACCCCGCCAAGAGCACGCAAGGAAGAGAAGAGTAACATGTTCGCGGAAAACGATGTGAAGGATATCTTTGCTCTCTTCCCCCCACAGCAAACTTCTGATTTTGTTCCACGGCTTGCGCTTTCTTCTAGCCGACATGGATTTGTTACTCTCCAGTTCGTTCAAGCTCAGTTCAGAAGTCGCGTAACAAAGGGTAGGTTCCTCCAGTCACTTTCCGTTGCATTCGCTAAGCTACGTCCTAGAGACGCAACGTATCTCGCTCTCTGCACTGGCCAGTGATCTTGACATAGATCAGTTGCTTGTCCATCAACTTGTCAGGAATCATCCTAAACTATGCATTTTTAGCGCGGATGAAGAAAACATTGTTCCCATAGATGAGCGGGACGTGATAGGGAAAGAAGCTGTTGATTCGCTGTCAGAAGGGCTTGTGTCCAAGGCCGACTTCGTTGCGCGACACGATGTCTCCCCCAATAGTCTTCACTACCTCTTGTCCGACCAGAACGATCAAGTTCTGGAAACTGATGGCTATTTCTACACAAAAGGCTACGCTGATCAGATCATGGACACCGTCAAGGGCATGGTCAGAAAGGCACTGGACGATGTTCAGTAAGTACAAGCATCACTTCCAGTGCATCAGACACTAACACACCGCAGGGCTGTTGTCATCAAACCAGAAGACCTGCATAACAACCCTCCAACATGGTTCATTCTTCATACTGTTGAGAAAGCTATGCAGTTTGAAGACCTTGCCTCCAAAATCAATGTCCAAGAAAACGCCGATAGCGTAACATGCACACCCAAGCAATATCTAGAAACCAAACGCGATACTACGGTACAAGGCTTGCAGTCCGGTGCACTTGCCTATCTCGACTTGCATAAGCTTGCATCCGAGTTCTCTGAGCTATTTTCAACCTACCAAGACGTATCGTCTCACTTCCAGCAGCTCTCAGGCATCGACGTGATAGGGTCATTCGCCATATCACAAAGCTGGGTCTCAAAGGTAGAGCAAGATTGTATCCGCATTCTCGAGCAGGAAGGTTGTACCCTTGACGTCACCGAGGTGATAGGCTCACGTCTTCCGCCAAGCACAATAGACACCATAGCAGCCAAAGCCAAAGACGCCATCATCGCCAACTTCTCACAACACAGCGAAGGGCCAAAGATAGTGCGAGTCGGTCCCCTGATCCTCACGGAGACACGACGAGACGCAGCACTAGACGAACTTTCTGGCTATGCAAAGGAGGACGCAGAAGCACAGTGGCGAGGACTACAAGACGACCCCACCCGAGCGGAAGACATCAAATTCGCTCGGGACAGAGTCAAAGCCATGATTCCTCCAACAGGCCTCGTCCAACGCCTTCTCCTCGACCAAAGACCGGTGGAGAAGACGTTGGAAGAACACTTCTGGTCCACCATAACTGCCTTTGAAACACCAAACGAAGAGGACTTTGCCATGTACTGGACAGACCGGCTTCTCACCCGCTGGGCCGTCTACAACACCGGCTTAGCCTCAATCACCGACCAAAAACTTTACGACCAGCTCGGAGACCTCCTCGCTACCTACGCACACAAAGACCTCATGCCAGACACCATGGCCAAAGCACGAGCACAGGGCCTCGTTCTCAGCCGCAAGACTCGGAAAAATCTCGCTCGACTATCAAGCATAGTAGACGCTACAAAGAGTGCAGACACCACGTACCTATCCTCGGCACTAGACAAGTTCAACAAGAAACAAAACATCGCCTCTCCCTCTCCAGATTCTCTCTCTGCTGCCAAACAAAGCATGTTGGCCGACATGTTGCGCCGGCTGCAGAAGCAGAAAGCTTCAGACGGGCCTGTGCTTTTCTTGACATTGGTCAGCGTGCTCTATGCGAAGCAGAACGACGGCGTGGTGTATGCGACGGGCAAGTTTGCGCCCAAGTTGTTGAAGTTGCTCAAGGGAGCGTTGGGCGACGAGCAGTTTGGCAAGGTGGAAGCGTGGAAGGAAGCGGCTAAGAGTAATTCCTTGAGTACGGAGGATAGAAAGGGGATGGCGGAGATGGCGAATAGCGAGGACTCGTGATGGTGTGCGTGAGGCAGAGAGGGAAATGCAAATTAGCTTCTGGGTCAAAACTTGCTATTTGCATGAATGGTTTTGGTGACGTACGCAATATTGCTGTGGTAATAATGTGATTATTTGTATTGTGATGACTAGCCTCGAAAATGGAATCAAACAGTAAATGTCACACTGGATAGCATCAGGGAGCAGAAGTTTAATCAAGGGATTACTATTCATACAGCTATTAAGCTACTTGGGTATCTGTGAAGATCATGCCGTGAAAATCATTATATCACAAGCCAACTCGCAACGTCTCGAGGGAGAAGGCCGGCAAGAAGGGCAGAAAGAATCTAGTCCATGATGCCAGCCTTGCCGTCGTGATCAGCGTCCTTCTTGGGGTCTGCAGCCATCGTTAGTATTTCTGCTCCAACTGAATCAAATCGCACGGGTGAACTTACTCAGCTTGTCCATCATAGAGGGCTTGCCGTGGACGTCAGTGGTACCGTGGGTACCGTGGGTGCCATGACCTGAGTGGTGTTGGTCATTCTGCAGAGAAGAGTGAGGCTCGGCGACGGAAACAGGCTCGACGAGGGCCTTGGGCAGGTCACCCGTCTCGTTGTTACGGTGTGCCAAGTTATCCCGGCCTGATCCGCCAACCTCACCAGGAACGGTCTTGGTGTGCTCACCTGTGGTGTGGGTGTTGCCACCGTGGCCGAGGCCGCCTGAACCAATGCCACCAGTGTTGCTGCCGTAGGCTCCCGTGTTGGAGTGGCTGCCGGTCAAGTCGCCGGCTCCAACGCGGCCGTCGTTGTTACGGTCAAGGGGGTTTGAGGTGCCGGTGTGGGTGGTGTTGGAGTGGCCGAGACCGCCTGTGCTGCCAATGCCGCCAGCGGTGTGGGTGTTGGAGTGGCTACCAGTCAGGTCGCCGGCACCGACCCTGCCATCGTTGTTGCGGTCGAGGGGGTTGTGCGTACCGGTGGTGCCGTGACCAGTGAGTCCAGATCCGGCAGTGTTGTGGCCAGTCAGACCTGAGCCAGTAGTGTTGTATGCGCCAGTTCCAGTGCTGCCGACACCGCCAACGTGGGGGTCAACCTGGTTGGCGATGCGTGTGTTGTGAAGGCCAGAGTTGTTGTGGTCGTTGAAGTCGGCGGTACCGTGGCCACCAGTGTGGCCGAGACCAGTGCCGGTGGTAGAGTGGCCAGTAAGACCGCTGCCAGTGGTGCCGTGGGTGCCGTGAGTACCCTCAGTGTACTGTCCAGCACCGTAACCACCTGCACCAGCAGTGTTGCCAGCGGTTCCAAGGCGGTCAGAGTCGACCCTTGGGTCGGCCTTGTTCATCATGTGAGAACCGTGAGGTCCAGTGGGGTCGTTGTGGGAGGTAGAGCCGTAAGCTCCAGTGTTGGAGGAACCAAGACCGGTGGTGCCATGTGTTGTTGACGAACCGAGACCAGTGGTGCCGTGTGTGGTTGATGAACCAAGGCCGGTAGAGCCGTGGGTGGTGGAGTGGCTGCCAGTCAGGTCGCCAGCTCCTACCCTGCCGTCGTTGTTACGGTCAAGGGGGTTTGAGGTACCGTGAGTAGTTGATGAACCGAGACCAGTGGTGCCGTGGGTGGTGTTGGAGTGGCTGCCTGTGAGGTCGCCGGCTCCTACCTTGCCGTCGTTGTTGCGGTCAAGGGGGTTTGAGGTACCGGTGTGGGTGGTGGATGTGTGCTGGCCGTGGGTACCTGAAGTACCAAGGCCGCTGCTTACACCTGAGCTGTGATGGTCGCCAGCAAAGCCACCAGTGCCAGTAGTAGCGCTGGAGGTGTTGTGTACTGTGGGGTCGGCAGTGTTGGCGGTGTGAGAGCTGTGAGGGCCAGTAGGGTCATCTAGCGTTGTGTAAGCAATTGTTCATATTGAAGGTATTCCACTGAAGAGCTTACCATGGGTCTTGTCCTTGTGCATCACCTGGTCGACCTTGGCCTTAACTTTGTCCATTACTCCTGACATATTTGCTTGTAGTGTAGAGGTTGTATAGGTATAAGTGTGGTTGGTTGGTTGAATTGGAGTTGATTGAAGTGTTGTGTTGGATTGTTGAAGTGGTGGTGGTTGTTGTTTAGATGCTGAACAAAAGCAAGTGCTGATGGTCTCTTATATACAGCACAGCTGATGGAAAGAGTGAGAGACCCATGGCGCTACGTCATGTCTAGCATCATCAGCGGACATTGTACAAAGTTCAATCGTGCTCCACCATCCCTACCTCCGCCTTCTTGGATTCCGTTTTCCAGCACCGCCACACGTGTGGATACCCGCTTCGATTTGTCTGGCACGTCATAAGAAACTTGGATATTGCCGTCAAACGTGACCGATTCAGTCCCCAAACGGCAATGGTTCGGTTCTCTTTCCCTGTATACCTCAGCTTATTCCTGCTGTGGCGTGCCTTGTTGTCTGCGGCTGCTACAGGATTTGGCTAATTACATCAGCCACTGGAGAGCTGGACCCTCAATGAGGGGCATTGCAACGGATTCAGCTAGCAAATATCCCGTTCGGTTGTGGTGGGGACTAGCACGCGGCCGGCGCTGCGTCATTTCGCGATCCGGTGCATGAAAAGGTGGGGAAGTTGGAAAGCTTAGCCACGTCTTCAATTCCTGATTTACCCTGCCTTGGATCAAATTTCTGGTACTTGACGCGTGTTGGTAGCAGATCTCCTGTGGTAAACCCTTGGTGACACCGCCACAGTCACCTGTTAAGCAGGGCACAGCAGCCATAGTGGATACCTCGTCGAGGGCCTAGAAGCGTTGGAATCCGACTT